CAGGCGCAGACTTACGGAGGCAGGTGCGACCCTGTGGGGGTGGATGCAGCCCCGCTGTGACAGGTACAATCTTACAGGGCTCAGTGCAAGCTTAGGGAGAGGGATGCAGCCTCACGGAGGTCGGTGCAGTCCTACAGGAGTAGGCGGAATCTTAGGGGAGTAGGTGCAGCCTTATGGAGAGAGGTGCAAACCTTTCTTTTAGGGAAGGTGCAACCCCATAGAGGCAGATATGGTTTTATGGGGTGTGGGTGCAACCTGACAGGAGTAGATGTAATCATCTGAGAGCAACTGCAGCCCTACTGGAGTGAGGACAATCTTACAGGGGTAGGTGCAACCTTAGGGGTCAGCTGCAACCGTATGGGGTCAGGGCCCTACCTGTGTTGATTTTTAGCCTTGGGGTAGGTGGGATGGGAGCCAAAGGGGGCTCTGTGTGGCCTGGCCACACTCCTGGGTTTGAGGCTGCCCCAAGGACCAGAGTATGGGTGGGAGTAGCTTAATCTGTAGAGAAACCTGAATGAGAGTCAGCAGGGAGGCTGTTGCTGAGGGGACGCCACACAGCTTGGCCTTGCTGGGGGCAGCAGGAGGGCAGAAGGAGGGCCAGGGAGCTGGAGGGCAGGCAGCCTGGCCAGTCGGCGCGGGACACGTGCCCGTACTGGCAAGAGGATGCCCAGGGTTGCTGTGCGTACGTGCAATTTCAGGTGCAAATCTCCCATAGTGTCTTCACAAAAGGGAGAATGCAATCTGATTTTGGCTGCAGGATTTGGGGGGACAGTGAAAGACGTTCAGTAGCTTTGCAGCATGCCAAAAAAAAAAAAATATCTGTTGGGAGGTAAGTGTATCCAGCCTTGGGACAAGCATGACAGATCCTAGGAGTTACGGAAAGTATACTGGTGCCCATTTCCTGAATATCCCCCCAGCCCAAAACAGTGCTCTCTTTGTGCCTCACATGCAAAAACCGTTCTTGTCTCTTTCTGTGATTCATGACAGGAGCTGGTGACCTGACCGGGGATGCTATGGGCTATGTGACGGGGGTGCTGGCTGTGCTGATACATGCTGCCTACCTGGTGCTCATTCAGAAGACCAGTGTAGACAGTGAATATGGACCCCTGACAGCTCAGTATGCCATTGCTGTTTCGGCCACCCCTTTCCTCATCATCTGCTCCTTTGCCAGTATGGATTCCATCAACGTCTGGTCCTTCCCCGGGTGGAAGGACCCGGCCATGGTATGCATCTTTATCGCTTGCGTCCTGATTAGCTGTGCCATGAACTTTACCACCCTTCACTGCACTTATATTAACTCGGCTGTGACCACCAGCTTCGTAGGGGTGGTGAAGAGCATAGCAACCATCACAGTGGGCATGGTGGCATTCAATGATGTGGAGCCCACAAAGTTATTTATAGCTGGTGTTGTGGTCAACACCTTGGGGTCTGTCATCTACTGTGTGGCCAAGTACATTGAGACCAAACGGCAGAGCAATTACGAGGACCTGGAGAAAGAAGCTAGAGAAGAGGAGGGGAGAAGGCAGGCTGGGGACCAAGCATTGTTTGCAATGGAGGAAATTTCCCAGGAAAAGGGGGCTGAGGAAGCGACAGTGGAAGGATCGGCCGTGGGGGACAGCCAGAGCAGAGAGGAAGAGAAGGATGGCTCTGAGAAACCTGCCAAGGGACTGGTGGTGCAGGGAAAAGCCACTGGCACACAAGAAGTGAACAGGAGCTCTCTGAAGGATGCCTATCTTGGAGTATGGAGGTTGGTGAGGGGTGCTAATTATATAAAGAAGGATTATTTGATAGAAAATGAAGAGCTACCAAGCCCTTAAAAAGCAGGTTTGAAAACCTATTGCTTGAGGACAGACACGTGGTTCTCTGTACAGGAGGAACAGCAGAGCATACATCTCCACATCAGTGCTGACAAATCCAAATCATGTAGGATGACTTTACCTGATTGACAAAAAGCAAAAGGTCAGAATTTGGTCATTGCTTTAGGCTTGCTTTCAGCTGCTTTCAGTACATCAGTTCAGACCCACCACAGCTAAAGGTGCCGAGTCCTCTGCTGTGGACGTAGAGAGAGTTGGGCAATGGCAAGTCATGGGGCGCTTGCCCAGAATCCTGGGCCATGGGGGACACCAGAACCATTGAGTTAGTCGTCAGTGCCAGTGACACAGAGGTGGCCTGTAGCTTAGTTTGTGTCTGGAGCCTTGTGATTTTAACACCATTTGGAGGCTCTGTCGATGTGCTTCTGTATCATTAGCCATCCAATTATAGGTACTCAATATAAATATATTCCTGCAATATATAAGCTCCCATTAAGTGTACTTTTATGCGCTCCCCTGTGTCAGTACAATTGCAACAGAGCTGGAGGTTGTGCCACTTCAATTATGTTGGTGTGAAATCACCCTCTCAACAGAAGAATTTACATTCTCCCTGATCCTGTGCCCAAACTGGGCCTTGGACCTGGTTTACATTGGGTGGTGTTTGTCTTCAGTAGAAATACTTTTGTCTTGCATTGGTGTACATGAGAGCAGAACCAGATCTGAACTTTTGAGAAGCTGCGGTCAGCAAAAGAAGGATGTTTTTTCTATGAGCTTTAACTACATGTCGCATTGGGTATATTAGTTTGACCCAAATAAAAGGGATTGGAAATGTTGGAATGGGTTGATTTGATTTGGGAGGGCTATTTTAAAAAAATAGGGTGACAGCGCGTGCCTTGTGATATCCTCTCCTTGTACCCTAAAGTGAAGTGAATCAGAGCCTGGCCTGGGACCTGGATGTCGTCTCCATCTCCCTCCCTCAGAAGTACAGGCTGATGTCCATGGCTTTGGTGGAAGCTGCTCCCCTGTGCCACACTGTACCTGTGGTCTGCTGGGACCAGAGCTGCCTCTGCACTCTGGCCATTCATTTAACCAGAAAGACTGGGGACTGGAGTATTTCTTAGCCTGGGGATACCCTTTTGGGAGGCAGGAGTCCTTTGATCAAACCTTTGCTCAGAACCAGGCTGAGAAGAGATTTGGCTGTGAGTCTTCCTCATCCCAAAAGGGTGCCCCAGCCATCTAGGCCATCTTAACTACAGACTGAAACAAGCTGTTACTGTCTCCTGAAGAAATGAACCAAGTTGTTTATTGTTGTTGTTGTTACTGTCATTGTTATTTATTATTATTATTATTTATTAAGCCACTGAACTTAAAATTAATTATTCCCACAGCCATAATTAAGCAGTGCCTAGCCCAATGCCTTCTCAAGCCAAGCAGGCAGCATTAGCCTCACAGTGCGTTCAGCACTGAAATCCAAAATGAGCCATTAACCCAGCAGGGAATATTTGCCAAACTGCAAATAAAGCTCTCTAGGGTAGCTTTAGGTTCATGTCAGTAAATGCAGGCAGAAACATGGGGTGCGACAGAATGGTGTTTAAGTGAGTGCGGAAGTTGGGTGACCTGGCATCACCTGTGAATTTTGAGAGACGGCTGTAAAGATATCCAGGATAAAAGCCTATAGCTGCTGAGCTGGGTGATGGGGCATGGAGATCTGTACATCACACGTTATGTGTAGCTTTTGAGTATTGAGAGATACTGGCAAGATGCTGAATGAAATGTTTACTCTCTGCTTAAGCTCCATACAGCATCTTTTGCAGTAAAAGCACTATTTCTTGTTTATAGACTAATGTAATGAGTTTTTTGTTAGTTTTTCTCAAACGCATTCTAGGCTAAAGGAGTTTGTGCCTATGTCTTATAGCTGCTGTAGTACTGAACTTGTTACGATATTGAACTGCATTGTAATCATACAGATGGCTGAAGAGAAACCCACATTTCGGATCTGTCCTCACTGTGCTGTGTTTCTGTCCACAAGAAATGTGGATCTTTTTACCACTGCGATGCCAGTCCTAGATCCCGTAGCGTACCCTCCGTGTTTGGCACGTGCTGTAGGAAGCTCTCCCCCTAGACTCTGGTTGCAGGACTTTTTTCCTGGAGGAGCTCAGTGTTTTGTTGCTTACTGTTGTTAAGTATTAGCAGAAACTTGCAGAAATTCAAACAGTTTTGACTGTTTAAAAAGCTGCTGTTATGATGTTGTACATTGCATGTATAGTTGAACTGTGATTATGTTGTATTCTGTTTATACCTGTAAATTCCCTAAATTAAAATGGGAATTTGGCAAATGCAATTCACTTTTTCAGTAAAAGAGACTGTCGCACAATAAAATAAAAATATTGCCTCGTGCTGAGGTATTTTAATAGCATCAGCGGAAGACTACAGAATGAGATGTGGGAATAAAATGCACTGCTTTCCAAAAGCCTTCTGGTTTTCTTATTGTTGCTTCTCTGGGGTGCTCATTTTTGGTTCATTTATAGTTATTATGGTGCCTTATAAAGGCGTCCAAGTTTCCTCAGCATGTGACCGCGCACTATAAATACTGTCACGGACAGCGGGACTGAGGACTGATGAACACAGAAATCCGAAGTGGCCAAGTCCTCTGTACAGCTTGAAGTCTGTGGTCCTCAGCTGTGATTTCTTTGGTTACGTATTTAAGATGATTTAGTGTCGCTGGTGTGATTGCTCTAACTAGAATACATACGGATAAGATGGTGCTTTTTATTAATAGTTATATTATAGAATCATTGCATTATTAAAGGACTTAATATTTATTTTACAATGTTAAGTATTTGAATTACCAGCTGTGTCACATGGCAGCCCTAGAAGATTATTTAAGCATTAATTTTTACCTGTTTGCTTCGGATGAAAGGTATGAAATGTGCCTGTGGCAGACACTGGGGCTGGTGATTATTGCAGAATTCATCTGAGACCTCCACACATGTGCCTGCAGGATGGCTTAGAGAAAGAAACTGTTCCAGGATAATAAATGAGCCTGATGCACAATGACTACTTTGAGAATAAACATTAATTTCGGTGTCAACACATCATCGAGTAACACCTGCCCTGGCACTCCTCTATATGCACACACATGCACATGCACACACACAGATACACGCGCAACAGGAAGGTGAAAGCCAGGCTGGCTGTCTTTTCTAAAATATATTATTTTCTCAGGGGAATTAAAGAGAGGCCAGAGTATTTGGAGGCAGGGACAGTTAAAATTTCAAAGGATAAGTGAAAAATTTGCATACATCACTGACAAACTGATCCTGCATTTACCATTACTTCCAGAAGGAAAATTAACATCAACCCACGAAAAAAAACAGGTGAGAGTGAAAGAAATTCTGCAGCTTATTAAGCAACACTCCACAGCCCTGTGTGTGTCCAGGGATAGTTTATTGCCAGTGCTTAACAGCCTGCAGTAACTTGATTACATCTATTTGCTTCAGGCAAAGGTTTCAATAGGCAGAAAGGTGCAAGTTCCTCAGCTTTGGGCTCTAAATTAAAATTTGCACGTTTTGCTGCTTGTAGTGGTTAAGGTTTAACACCACAGATGCCCGTCTCCTTGCCCATTCTGCCTGTGTCCTGTATAATTTCACATAGCGTTTTGAAGTTTTTTTTGGTTTTTTAACCTGCAGCCTGCAAGTGTGGTGCAGGCAATCACCTCTGCCTCTATTAGCTGCTGTGTTCATGCTTCAGTGGCTTGTTGGAGGTCATCAGGGGAAGCTTTTCACTTCAACCGTGCTCCTGATGGGAGCTGATGAGTGTTCACATGCCCTCCTTTCTTTTCTCTTGTTCCTGCTGTTATTTCCCAAATCTTGTTTCCAGTGTCCAGCCTGAAAACCCCTGCCAGTGACAGAGGACTTTGCCACAGCAGCTTCTGTCATATTACTATTTTTAATTAATTTTTTTTTTCTGGAAGGACAGGGAGGGGATGGACCACAGGATCTTTTAAGTCCAGATTGCTTCTTGCTACCTTTGTGTCTGTTTCTGCACACCAGCTCTCTGCTTGCCAGCTCCCTGTATAGCCTGGCCGTGGCTGCGTACCAGGTTTTTGTGGAGCAGGGCCAGGGCTGCGCACCAGTATCCTGTGGAGCCGGGCTGCGTGCAGGAGAGACGCAGGAATGAGGACCCTCAATCTGCTGCCAGCCAACACCAAAATCTCCTGGTTGCACAGGCCTGTGCGGAAATTTATTATACCTGTAAAACCAGAAGATTTTTTTTCACAGCAAGAGCATTTTGAGTAATAAAGCTATAAACCTGAAAAGGGGTTGCTATCATTATTGCTGATGAGCCAGGCTTATTTTTATTATAGGCAGAGACTAGGAAAGCCAGTCACACTTTAACGCTGGACACTGTGTTTGAATAGGAGAGACTGTGCCTGAGATGACAGCCTGGGTAGAGAGCATGGAAACACTACTCAGAGAGGTACATGGGATTGGGATTAGGGTGGATGGGGAAAATACAAGAGTTAGTTACAAATTAGGACAAATGAGGAAAATGTGTGAGTTGGCAGAAAAGCAAAATGTTCCAGTTCATGTCCCTGTCCTATACCCACGTCCCTGGATAGCTGGAAGCCAGCCTCTCCACCAAATTTCAGTTTATCACTGTTCTTACATGGAAAGAAATAGTTATAGCATCAGAAACCCAGGACCAAACAGCACGGTGAATCTGCAGTGAATGCACTTGAATTTGGGGCCCTGAAAGAGTGATACAAAGGAGAGAGGCAGAGTCAATGACAGGGCTGGGGGGAAGACGAGTGGATCTGCTATTTGTGGTCCTGTACTTTTTATTACTGGGCAGGTGTAAGAAATTCTGCCCTGGGCACATTAATTTTGTTAATAAGTTTGTCCTTTATAAAATAAAAGCAGTGTCAGTTCTGTTCTTGAAATTACACCATATTTTAATTAGATGCTATTGATTTTGTTCCCGACAAATTGAGACAGATTTCATCG